GACGTAGAGCGTGCCGCAGATCATGAAGGACTCCCCGGCGCTTCGTTTGGGGTAACCCGTGTCCCAGCTACGCAGGACCTCCAGCGTCTGGGGATCCACCCGGCTCACCACGATGTTGCCGGCGTTTTGGTTGGTGGTGTAGACAGCCCACAGCCCACTCTCATCCACCATGAAGTCGATGTCGGAGAAACCGCCCCACGAGTAAGGGAAGGTGTTGTTGTAGCCGGCGCCGGCGAGGCTGCGCTGTACCAGCACGCTGCGGGAGCGGAAGTGGTACTTCACCGCGATGTTACTCTGGTATTTGTTGTAGTAGAGGGACCCGTTGAAGACCACGTGGCCGGTGCCGGCCCAGGGATGCGGCAGGAGATGTTGCACGAAGTTCTGCCCCGTCACAAAGTCGTTCAAGGTCCGGAACTCCAAGACGCGGCGGCCCTTGTAGTATCCATCCATGTACCACACCTGCGGTGGGCTCAGGTTAGGGATGCCCGGCCAAAACGGGGCTCCCACCCCCACCACGATGGGCTCCCGGGACAGACGGACACGACCCATGCGCTGCACGTGCAGCCATTTGCTCCGCTGCCGTGTGCCGGGGAGCAAAATTTTCCCAGCTTCCCCCTCGAAACGTGTTTTCTGCTCTTTCTGCTGACCAAATGCTCAGCTAATTTTTAATAAGCGGGCGTGCTTCAGCCTGATTGAGTTCCCAGGGACTCCGAGGAAGCTCCTGCCCAGTTTCCTTCGTTAGCACTTGGCAGGGCTCTGCAGAGGCAGCACGTGCCCCGCGTGCGATGGATCAGAGGATTTGCACCCCGGCAAGCGTGCACCCAGGCGTGAGCACCCCAGGCAGGGTGTACCCTGGGTGCACGGGCAGCGTGCACCCCAGGGAGGGTGCACCAAGGTGTATGGATCCCAGGCACTCCGCACCCCAGGGAGCATGCACCAAGGTGGACGGACCCCAGGGAGCATGCACCAAGGTGTATGGACCCCAGGGAGGGTGCACCCCAGAGAGGGTGCACCAATATACAGGGACCCCAGGCAGCATGCAACAAGGTGCATGTACCCCAGGGAGCATGCACCAAAGTCCAGGGACCCCAGGCAGTGTGCACAGGCAGCGTGCAACCCAGGGAGCATGCACCAAGGTGTATGGACCCCAGGGAGCATGCACAGGCAGTGA